ATGACTAAGTGTTTTTGTCTTCTTTTTTTCAGGGGAGCTGAAGATACTCTTTCAATCACAGTTGTGCGCTGTGTGTCGGTAAATCTCTTTCTATGTTCGGTGTGTTAGTTTCACCCCTGTTGGCCCCAAGACTCTGCATCTCCAGAGGATATCCCTCGTAAAATAAGCAGGGAAGGCAAAGGGCAGAGGGTGACAGCTGCTGGGCAGTGGGTGACCGGCCAGTCACTCTACATTCCCAGAAGACCTCCTATGCATAGGTGCCATAGAGGGAACAGATGTGGTTTCAGGCCTCAAGGACTCACCGTCCAGCTAAGGGACAGGCCTATGATTATGCAGAATGGAACTATGAAAAAGGCACCAAACTAGGAGTTTCAAGACAGGTTTGAGTGCTGTGACTTTGGGCAAGGTCATTCAGTTTCAGTTTTCACTTTTGTAAAATAGTGGTGATGACAGTAGCTACCTTGTCTATCTAATGGAATGTTATGAGGCCCAAATGAGGTGTCGGATGTGAAAGTGTTGTATCAGCTCCGAGGCTCACCACAAGTCAGGGTGTGGTATAACTGATGCACAGGGAGGCCTGGCAATCCTAAACCCCAGCGGCCACGGGGCCCTTTGTATATTGTCCAGAGAAAAGTATAGAATCAACTTATAAGAGGAAACACTACCAAGAAGGAAATGTTGACAGGAAAATTCTCATTGCGAGAGACTTTAATATACACCTCTTAGCCTTGGCCACAAATAGACAAAAAAAAGGGGGGGGGGCATAGAGAATTTTAATAATGCATTTAGTAATCTAACCTAATTGACCACATACCAGGCTACCAAGAAAACTCAATAAATACCCCAAATAAAAAACTGTATAGGTCTCTTTTTCGGTTTCTTTTTCATTTTAGAAACAACTATAAAAATTTTAATTAAAACCATCCAGCCATTTGGAAATAAAAATGTAATTTCCTAAGTAAAGATGGAGTCGAATAGAAAAGCAAAACTACCATTATAGACCGTTTAGAAAATAATTGAAAATTAGAGCTCTACTTTTAAAAACTTTTTATGTACAGTTGAAACTATACTCAGAGTAAAATTCATAGCCTTGTTTTTATTATTTAATAAGGAAATAGATCAATTAAATATCAGTGAAAGAAGGAAGAAAAGATTAATAAAACAGAATAAAGAAAATAGTTAAAATCTAAATGATGCTTTGGAAAATAGATTGTAAAGTTGATAAATCCAAGAGCTAGTACTTTAAGGGAAAAAAATTATAAAATAGGAAAACTTTAAGGAAAAGAAACGTGGGCACTTTGTGAAGGAAACTAAAATATTACTGAAGGATGTAAAAAAAAAATCTCTTGAATATAAAATTAGATACTACAGTGTTTCTTTTTTTTTTTGTCTTTTTGTCTTTTTTTCGTGACTGGCAACGGATCGCAACCCTCAGTGT